CTTTCAAAAACTGCAAAGTGCTATGTAAATTACTGTACTCATCTAAGCTTTTCTATCTACATCTCCACCAAATCTTATTCTAAAAACTGAAAGTGAATGAAGAAGAAAATAATCAAAAAGTATTATAGATAGTATCCTAACTCTAATAATTCAATCTCAGATAACAGAAATACTCGGGAAATAGTGTGCTCTAGTTAATATTTAGCTGAAAATTCTGGTCATTTTTTTTTTCTTTGAAATCCCTTTTAAATGCATTGGTACACTTTCCTTGGTAAATACATAACTTAGCTCTTATTTGATGCCAAAGGGTTTTACGTTGCATCAGCATTCTGATTATCATTTCCTGTTGCGTTGGATTTAGGCTTAAAAGAGTAATCTATGTTCTGCTAAGTGTATTTTTGTTTATTTTTTTATTGTTTGGAGGATATTTCATGGTTGATAGAGGCATGATTATTTTAAACAAAGCCAGAGATCCAATTACAAGCTGTATTCCAAAAGCTTATTTGTTCCTAAATTGTTTGGAACTTGAAATGCCCTTCTACCTGGCAAAAAGAAAAAGAAAAAATAATTATGAATCACAATCAACTTCTCTGGCTTGTCCAACAAGCCCACAATATAGATAAAATGCATTTGCTATGTCTTAAAAGTCACAAATGTTCTGCAATGGAATCATCAAAAACAAAATCAGGATGTGGGGCAAGAGATGGCCAAACTGAGTGTCCAGAGTTGAGTGAAAAAGTAGAATAGGAGGGAAAAAGAAAGATGTTGAAAGGGTGGCTGTGTGTCTATGAGAAACACGCTGTATGGAGTAGAAACAGCTGAGATATAACTGCTGAGAGAGAAAAACCTAGAACATGACTCAAAGCAAAAGAAAGGAAGTAACAGAAAGCAAGGCTGGAGAAAACAGTCCCCCACAGGAGCCACTGCAGTGTGACAGCAAAGTCACCAAGACAGAAGAGGCCTCAGCATAAGGGAAGACGACTCCCATTTGCACCTGCAGGATGGCCTTACTTCTACATGCCAGATGGTCACACTTGGATTGCTTGCACCTGAGCAAATGCCCAGGGGCTACATCCTAATTCTGAATCCTGTCTGGCCTCTTAAGGATGCTGGTCTTAGTTGCAACTTTTGTTTATAGTTCATTCACTGCCTTTTCCATCTCCCTTTTATAGCGATAATTATGTTATTATATATATCATTATATGTTATAGTGATAATTTTCATTATATGCTAGTAAAATAGTTTATCTCCTCCCTGAATTTATACCCAAGTGCCGTCTCTCTTACTGCACCTACATTTGGGTTCCTGCCCTTCAGATGGCCATATGAGTACGTGGTTTCACATTCACTCTGTCCATCTTGCCCTTTTCCAAGTCATTGTCACTAGGTCTAAGTGAAAATGCAGGGTATTCACTTATTCATTCAACCAAAAGCTGAAAATAGGTGTAAGGCATTGTGTTAGGCCCAGTAGTAAACACAATAGCCTTGTTGGGTTCCTAGCAATCTTTAGCACATTTGGTTAAAATGTGAAACAAATACCATAAGGAGCAAACAGGAGACATCTCTGGCCTCTAAGATGCTCTGGTAATTTTGAAATAACATGCTAAACTATGGCTGGACAGATGTTAAATTTAAAGAACTAGCCCTGGACCATGTGGTTCAGTTGGTTGAATATCATCCCAAAATGTCGCTGGTTCAATTCCTGGTTATGGCACATGCCCGGGTTGTAGGCTCAATGCCAAGTAGGGATTGTGCAGGAGGCAGGCAGCCGCTTGATGTTTCTATCTCACATCAATATTTCTCTCTGTCTCCCTCTCCCTCTAAAATTAATAAAAAGATATTTTTTAAAAAAAATTTTAAGTAAAGAATAGTGTCAATTCCTAGTAAGATTAAGAGCAGAGACTTATCTTGAATATTCTCTATGTTTGTTCTAGAGATAATGTTTAATGTGTTACAAGGGGAAGCATAGATAAGCTAACAGAATTAACAACATTCACACTCAAATTTCTCATAAACAAGGCTATTTCTGCCACTTAGAAACAATTATTTCATTGGAAGGTGAAGGCAGTCTTCACTCACCACCACCAACATACAGGGGTCTATATATTCATAAGTACAGCAGGTCACAAACAAAAATGATGCCGTAGAACAGCTCAATGGAAAATGGAGAAATTTATTGCCACATGGTTGAAAGTTACCTGACCCTTTAAAATTACACCAGGGAACAAGGACTGTGTGAAGGCCCAGTAGTAAACACAATAGAAATCTTCAAATCAACCTCAGTAGAAGAGGACATTTCAGTTCAAAAGTTAATTTGGAACCAAGGAAAGGCGTCTAGTATTTAACATGCCCAGTGAAGCATATAGAGAATACTACTCTCTATACAAGTAGAAAACTCTCAGAGTTTTCTGCAGTCTGGCCTAGTGCCTAGGAACAAGCATTCCCTGGGCCTAAGGCCAAAATCCCCCAGAGCAGAGCCAGCTGGTCTTCCCTGGGGGGCAAACACCACACTGGGGAGAAACAGGGTGGAGCAGATTCTTCACCCTCTGCCTTCACTTTTCACATACTTTCATCTTTTAAGTTTATCTGAAATATTTCAGAAAAAGGCAACAGTTATGTTGCCACTGATTATCTCCTGCAAGGCAACTCTTGTGTTTATCCTCCTAGATAAAGACTGTGCAGCTGAGGACCTCCCTAGGGGCTGGTCTCTCATAACCCAACCCCAGATGCAATGAGTCAACCCATTTCTCCAGCTTTGTGAAAAGTATGCTCATGTTTAACCTGAAAAAGGAATCCCATAATTGCAGCTCCTTTCTAGAAGACATGTCCCAGAATTCTTTGATGACAACTGCCATGTTCCTTTCGGAGACTTTTTCCTTTGGAAGTGCATTATTTGGAAAAGGTCTAGGCGGAAGAAGGGTATTGAAGTAGGAAAGGGAAAGAAGAATGGGTAAATTTAGTTTCGAAAATACAACAGTGAGTTGTAGTGGATATTAATCCCACAGTATTTCATCAAAAAACAAGGTAAAAATTCTTTCCAATTCAATTTTTGTGACAGCAAAGACCCCACCTAATGAGATAAAAGTATTCAGGATTGTCCTACTTATGGAAGTAAGTCCTAGGATACCTCCATGTCAAACACCCAGAGTTGCATCATCAGAGCACAACAGAATGATGTTTCACCAGCTGATTGCAGAGGTCAAAGACTGAAATGCATGTTCCAAGGTAGACCTTTACTGACACTGATTGTCGATCTCTAAGTAAATGAGCTGGAAAGATTTAGAAACTGAATTTCGCAATAGAAAATTTGGTAATTTTTCAAGAGTATGGGCATTTAGATAGGATTTCACACGAGTTCACGTACAGGTTCAATGTGTAATTACTGAGTACCTCATAGTGTGCTAACTACCTGAAAGTACTGACACTAAATAATGTAAGTGATTAGGATACAAAAGCTAAGGTCTCCCAGTAACAAAAAATAAAAAGGTGACTCTGGTCAAAAACTAAGTTCTCACCTATATCATGTGTTCTAGACTTAAACAATGATGTATGATGCAAAAATATATCTTGAGATAAAAAACGTGATCTGGGACACTGACTCTTTGAATCTTAGGCTTTTTATTCTTTTTCCAAAATAATCTTCACCCAAGGATATGTTTATTTTATTAATTTTAGAGAGAGAGAAGGGAGGGGGGAGGGGGAGAGTGAGAAACATCTATCTGTTGCTTCCCACACCAGGGACTGGGGATCAAACCCCCCACCTGTGTATGTGACCTGACAGGGAATAAAACCCGCAACCCTTCAGTGTACAGGACAACACTCCAACCACCTGAGCCACACTGTCCAGGGCTTTTAAGTACTAAGTACATGACATCATCTCTTTAGTCTAGGAACGTTGGTTCCTCAAAGTACTGTCACATTTCCATGACACCCAAAATATAGTGAAAATGGAAATTTCTATGAAAGGAAAAAAGATTTCAAAATCAGAAAAGATATTATCTACTCAGCATTGTTCAATCATATGTGAGGATATATTTTATGGTACACTATACACAGAAATCTGTTCTTTCCAAATAACATAATAAAAATTATCGCATCTCCTTGTAGTTTTCAGTTTACTTCCCCACATATGTTGTTCCATTTGATCCTCACAACAATCCTCTGTGGTGTGCAATGGGGTTGATGTTGACCTCATTTTAATACAGAAGAAACCGAGGTTTGGGAAGAGAGAGGTTATACAAGGCCTCAGCAATTAATAACAGCCACGAAACCAAGAGCACATGCTTCTGACGCTCAGTCCAGCCCTTCTCACCACAGATCTAGACTGAAAAACAACCTCCACATTTCATCAAGTTAACTGTGGATCCTGCAACTGTCATCACAAAATAGCAGTGGAAGAAAGAGGGCTTTTGTTAGCAACAAAAAACGTGTAGCCTGCGGTTAAAAAGTGGACAGAATCATAAACGTTTCTTTACACTCATATGACATGCATATTAATGGACTTGCTGAACCGCTGCAAGGAAATTCCTAAACAGAGTCCAAAGAAAAAGCATTTTCTAAAGTTCCTGATACAACTTGAGCTCTGTTAAATCTTTTCAAGTGGAATCAGTTAACTGAATCAGAAAAGTCATCAACACTGCACCCAGAGCCACCCAAAGGCCACCCAGCAGGTGTAAAAGATGGTTCGTGGTTCCTAAAACCAATAGCTTTCCGGCTGATCGTCTATACACCTCTAAACACCTTGTACTCTCTGAGGGTTACAGGTGGTATTTCTAAAGATCACTTTTTTAGAAAACAGACTGCGTTCATGAACAGGCCCTTTCATAAGCATCAGTTAATACAGGTGAGAGCGCACTATCCCCCGGGGACAGGAGCGCGCAGAGCGGAGCGCGAAGGGGAGAGGGGCGCACCGCTGTCTCTCTCCGGCCGGTGCTGACCGCCCCGAGCGCAGGAGCTGGGCGCCGCCCTCCCGCCCCGGGGGCCGCGGGGCCGCGGACCTACCAGCGAGAGCACTTTATAGGTATTGGGGTCCTTGGCCGGGCGGGCGCGCGCCGCCTTCTCCAGCGGCTCCTCCCCCAGGTCCATGGGAGCCAGCAAGGACGCGGCCGTCTGCGGGTCCCCGGGCGCCTCGGCGCCGTTGCCATGGCCCGGGTCGCGGCCGTTCCCCGCCGGGCCCTCCCGGCGGCCGTGCCCGCCCTCGCCTCGGCTCCCGCCCCCCGCGTAGCCGTCGCGCTCCATCGTGGTCCGGGCGCTCCCGCCCCGCCGCCGGCCTCGGCTTTAATAGGCTCCGCGCCGGCCCCGCCCCGCCCCGCCGGCGAGCCCGCCCCTCGCCGCCAGACCCTTGGCTCCTCGCCCCGCCGCCCAGAGCTACAAGTGAGGGAAAGCAACTCAACGCCCCGGATTATTTGGCTTCCTGTCTGATTTCGGGCACTCTGTGTGTCGGTTATTTTGGTTCCTTTACGTGGGCGTGTCTTTAACTTCCCCCAAAGCCTTCTCCTCCCCACGCCCGGGCACCTTCCGAACACTTGCAGGAATTGCCCTGCGTGGTGGCCTCGTGGCCCGGGCTGGACTGGAATTGCAGTGTGGTCTGCAAAGGGCATGAGATCATAGCGCCCCAAAATAGAGCAAGAGCAGCAGCAGAAGGATGCAGCGGCCAAGCTGCAAGGTGCGAGAGTGGAGTCAAGACAGACCCATGGGCTGGATGCATAGGCAAAAATAGACTGTAGGGACGAGCATGGTGGATTGTGACCTTCTTTTTCTCCCAGGTAGAAACGAACAAGAATTCCTTCAAAGCCCTGCCATCCACTACCTACGCTACTCTGAGAGAGGAACATCCAACCTTAAAGATCTGGTTTTACAAAAGACATACATTGAAGGAATACTTGACTTTCCACCAGAGAGAGAGAGAGAAGGAGAGAGAGAGAGAGAGAGAGAGAGAGAGAGAGAGAGAGAGATTTCTGGGTTTTTGTCCTTGCCCTTGTTTTAAAATATTTAATGATTAATTCTTTTACATGTTCTACATTGAAGGCTACAAAGTATCAGATTACCCTATCCTGAGGTTGACGCTGATACTTGGTAATTAATATCAAACACTTAATCTGAAATACCTTAATAGTTTATTTTTGAACCAGGAGAGGATCACCAGGCCATAATTCTTGGTGGGTGCTGATTCATCTCTGATTCTACAACTTTTACATTTCCTTGCTCATCAGTTAGAAAAACCACAAATGCCTAGCGAAGGGAGCCTTGCCTGTCAAGGGGAAACCAGTGACTTCCAATAGCTTTGCAATACCCAGGACTGCCTTCCCTGACCAAGGAGAGCTACGCAATCCAATACAATTCATTTTGATTATACAAATACATTCAAATGTTTTTGACATGAGAACAGGTGTTTAATAGGTACAAAGTGTGTGTTGTCCCCTTTGAAGTAGTCAAATTGGGATGCTTTCCATTTATATTGACTCATTCATTCTTTTATTCAATTATGAATCCTTCAATTCAAGCTATTGGCCTCCAACTATGCATACCACATTAAAGATGAATAAAAGTATATCTTTCCCAAGTGGCTTTTAGTTTGGTCCAAGGAAGTGAAGGAAATAAACAAAAAATTAAAACCCAAGCCATATATGCATTATAGAAGCACAAATAGGGCATTGCAAAAGCTTGGTGGAAAGAGTAACTGAGACCTGGAAGAAGTAGAGGCAATCTGTGAAAGCATTATTGAGCTTTTTTTTTTTTTTTTAATTACCTTTGAGTCAGCTTACAAACCACCCAAAAGAAACAAGTTTTCACCATTTCATAGTCACACATATTTTTTACCCCAAACTTGGCTCCAAATTTTCCCTTAACTGTTCCCAGAAATCAGATTCAAGGACAAAGATTTGCTCAAAGGAGACTGGTCAAATGAGTGTCAAAACTTCTAAAAGCAATTCAACAGAGACATTACAAAGTGACTTTGAACCTGACAAAACAAATGGAATAAGTGTATTGTCCACATCCCAAGGCAATAAATCACTTTAAAGACTTCAGCAACTGCAAATGTCAGTGTACAGTCTTCACGGTCATAAACTCAAACATCTAAGCATCCTCAGGAACCAAAAATAAAGTGAAGCAGCCTCCTTTAGGTGAACGATGTGCCCTGTTACAGGGGGCAGCATTTACTCATCAGTAAATGGATTGTGTGCCCATTGTGGCAATAGATTTCTCAACAGAAGCAGGAAATTTAGATGTTTGTGTGAATTCTCCAGATTGCAAAATTTTGTCTACAAAATTCAGAAAAACAATTTCTTTAAACACTTTAAAGGCCAAACAAAATGTAACACATCTGCAGGGTGGGCCTGGCACACAGGCCACCAGGATGTGGCCTCTGCCTTACACTCATGCCCTGCCTGTGCCAGTAGGGACTTTTATGGGTAACTATAAAAATCCAATGGCAATTCTAAAATCAGAGGAATAAAAATGAATTGAGCGTGCCACTCATATCGTTTAGCTGTAGACATCGCAATGCCTGTCATTAAGTCTTGCCTTGGTCTTATTTAGATTCTAGATGTCTGAGGGACAGCTTTATACTCCAAAGTACAATGAGGTCATAAGACATAAAACTGCAACCAACTTGGTCCTCTGGTTAGTGTAAAGGTGAACAATGAATGTTTCACTCTTAGTCCTTAAACACTCTGCTGTAACAATTGAGGGTTATAATCTGGTGCAGCAGTGGAGATGATAGTTTAAGATTTTATTAGATTTCTTAAGTTTTACTGTACAGAAGTATTTAAACATTTCTCCCTTGGTGCTTTAGCTGTGGATTGGACCAAAGCACCAAGCACACCCCATTTATCTGTGTTTGAACTACGACTTCTCAAAGCTGAGAAACAACTCTTCTCAGCTTTTAGAAAATGAAATATGCTGTAGAATGATTACTTTTGCAGCTGCTCTGAAGCTTCCCCAGCTTTCTCCGATTCTCCAGTGAAATCCAAAACATCTTTTTCTAAAAAGAAAAAAGATCATAAGGTCCTTTAACCTTTATGAGACTTGGAAAAAAAATTTTCTCTATGACATTATTTTTAAATTATTTGTATGTCCTCTTAATTTCTCTTTATTTTTCGTAAGCACAAAAATATCCCTTCTGGAAGAAGCTCAGATAAGTATGTGATCTGGTATTGATTACAATAACTCCGAGACTTGGTTTCCTCATTTATAAAATGGTTTTACAAATAATACCATAAAAGGACACTGCTATCACCAAATGCCAACAAAATGTTTAACATTTCCCAACTTCACATAAAATTTAAATTTAAATTCTTTTTATATTTAAATCACCCAAGTCTTACCCTTAAGACACAGAATATCCCTATTTTATTTTTACAGAAATTAGGCACGATTTATACATAATTTGGGGGAAGGTTTGAGTGCTGCTGCAGGATATGCAGCTGCAGAGGCCGAGCCTGTGGGGGCAGGAAGGGTTAATGCCCATCTGCGAAGGCAGGCAGACACCTTGTTAGTCTGAGTGAAGTAAACTCAAGAGTGTAAGATGCAATTGAGAATAATAGAAACTGGCAAAAAGGAACATGCATACCCCATCTAAAGGCGGCTGCTGCCAGGTCTTCACTTCTCGCTTGTCCACAGTCTCTGTCCCTCCCCATTCTCTTGTAGCTCATTTTGCACAAAATCCAGAGTTGCCGATAAGCTGCATTTATGCCTCTCATTTTGCTGTTGTTTTCTAGATGTTTCGTGTCTTTCCAGTATTTTATTGGTCCTCTGTTTCACCTTCACTTCTTTAAATTTGTCTTAAAACTATTTTTATTATACTTCTGTTGAATTTTAGCTGTTTTAAAAAGTTATTTTCTCACTAGCTGCTTATGAGGTTATAATACACATTCTTACCTTACCATTGACTTCAGATTAATAATGACTTAATTCTGGTAAAACATAGCATTTTTTCTATAATATGTCTCCATATCTGGGGAGGAAATAAAACAGAGCCTTTGGACTCTAGGTCTCCAGAACGGAGACACAAGAAATTACCATGTCATAACTGATGTACAATGAGCTGCACATATTTAAAGGGTAAAAGAAAAAAATGATCACATTAATATATTTAATTAGTTACCACATAACTACCAAAATAATATATTTAATCTGGAAGATAGATTGGAAATGTTTATACTGAATGCTAATATACCAGCCCTCTGAACACACATTTACTGATTACCTACTTTATACTATACTAGAAACACTGGAGATAGAGAAGAAAGGCAAGAATAATCTATCCTCACAAGAAGCTCCTAGCCGAGTGGGAGGGACAGAAATATTAACAGTAGTTGCAACAGTATGTTGAGAGCTATGCTAGGGTAGCCCAGGGTATTGGAAGCCCATAGGTACCAGTCCCCAAAGTGAAGGGCCATAGTCCCTATGGCTGTCATTGCTTACACCTCCTGTAATCCACCTTAGACTGGAAAGCCTCTTCCTCTGAGAGCCAGCCCTACATATCCTAGGACACGGCCCTGCCTCTGTGATCACAACTGATTTCAGCAGATGCCTCATGGGAATCCAGCCCATGCATTGACTCTGTTGTGACTGAGGTTTACTCTGACTTGAGCCATGAGGCTTGCTGTCACTTGAGAATTTTATATCAGACACAGCTGAGAAGTCATGATGCAACTCCAAAGAGCAAGTAAGAGACTACACTGGGCCTGTGCACAGCGCATGAGCAGAGGGATCTGCTGTGGACATCAAGGGAAACATGAAGCAGGTGCCTGGAGAGATGCAGCACTGGGAGTAACATGAAGTGACCTCCTGATTTTCGGGGTCCCAGCCCAGGACTGGTGTGGCTCAGCTATATTTTGCTAATTGTCTTTGCATTTTACCTGTGTTATTCTTAAAAGACTGCTCCTCCTGTTTTCCATGACCTAGTTTTAGTGGTTTTCTTTCCTTACATACAAAAAGACTAGCACATTAAGAAGATATAACACATCTACAGTGGCCAAGATACAGAAACAACCGAGTGTCCTTCAATAGATGATTTGATAAAGGAGATATGGTACATATATACAATGGGAAACTAGTGAGCCAAAAGAAAAGATGAAATACTGCCATTTGCAACAACATGGATGGGCCTTGAAAAGATCATGCTAAGTGAAATAAGTCAGACAAAAAAAGTTAAAAACCTTATGATTTCACTCATATGTAGGATATAAAACTGAAAGCAACAAATGAATAAACAAGATAAATAAAACCTCATAGACATAGACCAC